AGATGCAATGCTTGTATTGCTGCAAGAGGTGCACATTTCGAACAAAATCTTCATTAAAAAGTTTATAAATAAAATAATTAAAATAATAAATTAAATATATTTTTTTCTTTTTTCGTGATTTCCTGCGAAACAAAGCAAAAAGGAGCATATGTCTATAGGACTTTTTTTCTTAGTTTTTTACTCCTCTACACGCTCCCGAAGTTTTGCCATTTAATTTGGAAACACCCTGTATATACACACACACACATACTCTTCATCTCTTTTTAATTCTTGATATTTACCGGTCGGAAGTTCGGAAAATTGAAGTAGTCGTATATAGAGGGATATCTGTACATTTAATTACATTCATCAAATATTATATTTATATTACCGATAAAATACGGGAAATAACAGTTAATGCAAAAATTTTATACGACCAGGAAATATAACGAGACGAGTAATTTCTGTTAGTGAACGTTGCACAAATTATTATCTTGTTCAGTTGAATGTATAATGAAATAAATGCTTTATATCCACTGCAGAAAAGTGGCGCCTGTAATCCTTTCTCGCGCAATTATTGCTCGTTATTATAGCGCAAGGAAAATCGCGACGCGAGCGAGGATCCTGTTTCCTGTGCTGCTCCTCATTTATACGCATCGCTAACGGTGAACATCATTTTGTATAACAACTCTAACGATGCTCGATATTATTTAATATCCCGGGAAAACAAGTGGGCGGTGGACACGCTGATTTTACGTTGAACGATAGAAGATGCGATCGTATAACTCCCTTACGACGGTGATTTCCATAATAATAACGCAGACTTTGTATACGGTGCCATTAGTGTTATTACTGTTATTCAGCGAATTGCAGAAATTCGATAAATCAATAAGCAGTGTGTATGGCTTTATCCGAAGAGCCTGGAGCAATAACAGGGTAAATTTGATGGGAGCAAATTTGGCAAGCGAATATTGAGAATGTGCATGAATCATTAATGGTCTAAATGCAAATTTTTCGTATTTTACCAATGTCCGTTAACGTTGACAGTTAAATCCTTCGTATTCTTAACAAATCAATTAAAAATGGACAGATTATTAATTTAACATCCGAAGAGTTTGAGAAAAGAGGTCGCGCATGTATTCGTACGATTTTATATATTACTAGAAGAAAGATTAAGTAAATTGCATTAATTGTATGAATCGCAATTTTTATAAAAATAAGTTTCTTTGATGAAAAAAAAAAACATCTCATTTTCATTGGACAAACTAATAAGGTAGATCGGTCGGTGGATAATTTATTCAAGAATATCATTAAATAATTGTAGCTGGATGGAAATAGAAATATCATCTCTGTTATACTCTTTTCAGATATCAAATAAAATTAATTCTAATTAAATTTTCTGTATTCAACTGACTCTTGCATGAAAAACACATGATGCGAAATTACATGTAAAATTATCATTTAAAATTAATATTATTTCATTTATCATTAATTACAGATCCATTAACTGCAATATGACAATTAAAATACATCAAAAGAAGATCAACAATATATAGAAATTAATGTAAAATAAGTAGAAATTAATATAAAATCAATTTGTGTAAAAATACGTTTTTCCGATGAAGAAAAACGTTGTTGTATTATAGATTGATTATAATTGTCAATTAAAAGAATATTAAAAATTAATGCTTCGTTCGCTAAATCAGTGCTATCATTCTAGGATTAATTTCGCTACCTAATCCCCTGTAACTAAGAGGAAGCTAAGGGGATAACAAGAAGGTCGGAGGTCCAAGGTGGCGGAGTCCGCCAAGGCAAATGGGCGAATTAAGCTGTAACGAGGTTCTTACCTCCTTCGGTCTCGTGCCAAACGATGCCCTCGAGGGTGACGGAGGTACCGGGTTCGCAGGGCCCCAAACACTCCGGTTCCGTGATGGTCCCCACGCTGGTCCCAACGCATACGTCGGACATGTCCTACAACAGAAAGTTCGACGAACGGTGAGCCGCGATGTTGTCACGTGTCACACGTATGACATGCAGGATCGATAAGTATCGCGTTCGTCAATTTCGCTCGCGTGAAACAAAGCCGCGTAAAATAATCTACAACATGAAGATTGTACGTACCATACATGGTGGAAGAAATCTACCATGATACACCATGCACAAAAAGAATAGTTTTGCTAAAAAATACAAAAATTTAGGTAGATACAGATTTGAAAATAATTTCGTTATAAATCATCAAAATAATTATTAGAACGTTCAAGCTGGTTGCTAGAGTGCCGAAAAATCTTTTAGAATATTTTATTATTACTCATTATGTTTGAGCTTCCCACATAATTATTTTGATATTTTTAACGGCCTAATAAATTATTTTTAAATCTGTATCTAAATAAACTTTTAGATACTTCAGCAAAATTATTCTCTCCGTGTACATTTATTATTTTAATAAATATTTTAACAACAATTTTCGGCCGCGATTAAAAAGATAATTTCTCCCTGATGATTAATTTATTTTGATAAGTATTTTATCGATATCAAGGATATTGCTGTTCACATTAACTCTCTAATGCAAACGTAGGAGACAGACAATGTATATTGTTCGTAATTAGATTGAGATAGTCTTGTATGTCCAGGGACTTGTCATTCTAACTACGAAGCGGTTCCCGTGACGCTCAGGGACTTGCATTCTAACTACGACACGAGAATGGCGATCAAGAGCGATAGCATGACTGAGAGATAAGGATGCTAACTAACGATCCGTTAGATCCATGAACTATCTCATGGCGAATGCATGAAATTAATGTCTAATAAACGCCTGTTTCGAGAGACCGCTCGAATATTTTCGCGGCTCTGCTGTGCCATGTACCTCATACGTTTAATTCAATTCATTCACTCTTCACAGTTGTGCAACTAAAATCCGTGACATAAAATCCGCGTATGTGGTGTCTTTCGACATGAAAATATATACATTTTTCAGTCCATACATTTACGTTGTATTCTGACTGATGTAATACACAGTGCACGACCGTTTCGCGCCGACATGACGTTACGCGACGATTTCGACAAGGTGTTAACGAGTCATCGTACGGTATATCTCTCGGGCTTTTCAAAAATATCGGATAGGGCTGTCACGAAATACCGCCGTTGCTGTACGCGGCGACGAGAGAGAGTATCGCTTCGCCGTTCATTTCGGAAATCGATGTAATCCCGGTCGCTGGACGCGCGCGCGCGGAAAATGCATCCCGGGACGGCGGCCGAGTGGCCTCGAGGCGCGACGAAACGCAGCCGAGGATATAAAAGCAATTGGAGGAGGCCCCAATTAACGTCGGTCGTACACTCCCCCACCGTGTCGCCCGCTCGCTGTTTATGGAAATATCGGCCCGCCGATATTTCGCCGAACTGGAAAACGCATGGTCGGAAACGCGGTTCTGCCGTCGGCACGTTTACACCGGCTTGCAAATAGAAACGCGACCTGGCAAAAGCGCCGAGGGTTGATTTTCGCATAACGTTTCCGCACACCTACCGTGTCGCGCCGCTGAAAATTGACGAACACGTCATTCTCCCGTATACGGATATACTGCACATGGCGCTATCGATTCTGATTTACGCCCGCGGGACAGATCGCATTTTACAGGATCTCGACCGCGTGATAAAATTTTCTCTGCCCTTCCTCACAATTTTATTGCAAATATTTTTATTCGCATTAAACATGTTTGCCTCCTATTTTCACCAGCATTAAAAAGCATATTTATACAACGCAAGGTAAATACGTCTTATTATTGTGCAACAATATAAATAAATTCATCTAGATATAACTCTGTATCATTTTTATCGTTACCATTACTATCATTATCGATGGAATACCACTATTTTATTTAACGATTATTATTATACGCTGTTATTATTTAACGCTTTTATTATATGCCATACATTTTCATATGTATGGCACTTAAACATATAAATATGGCATAATATGGAAATGCAACCGTGAGCCGGTTTGTTGCGGGTTTAAAAGCAATTAGCGAGATGTCTGCTGAATGAATGCGCTCTGCTGGTCGCGGTAATTTTCGCGGCTCGATGCAAACAAATTTCCATTTCGGAAAACAAAATTGTCGCACGGTCGGGGCTTTGAGAGCAATTAGTGATGCCGCGCATAATTAACGCGTTAATTAGCAGCGCAATTTTAGGTAACGCGGACGTAACTTTTTCGTGTGTCGGAATATCGACACTGCAGCGCTGTTACAAATTTTTCATTTATTCACCCTGTGGGATTTAAATGTCACCGATATACCCATCGTTCAATATTAATATCTGCTTTCGCGGAACGAATTTTCAAACGACATACAAAGCCATATGTCCACTCGATAAATCCGTTATAAATCCCCGGGAGCATTCTCGCAATAACACAATTTCTCCTAGGCATAAAATCGACAGTAGGACTCGATTACTTGAACCATCGATCGGCTAGAAACAAGGGAATTACTTATTTTATTTTTGACGTTTTATTTAATTTTGTATACTAACGAAAGTTATATCGATCCACGCATGGAATCGACCTTTAGATAGCTTCAATATCTACATGCGTGCTCTATATTAATCCAGACGAATTTATCGGCGTTATCGCTTCGGCGGTGTTTCGCTGTGAAATAAAATTTGCGCCGGAAACGCGTTTACAGGCGGGTTGGCTGAATGCGCCGAAACGCATTAACGTGGATAATCGAGAAAATGAGTGACAGCGTGCGCGAATGCATGGATCCGCATGCATGTATAAAATATTCGTGATTCGTTGCATCTCTCTTCATCTTTTTGATAAATTTGAAATGCTCTCAACAGTAGAATGCAGTTGATTTACGATTTTTAATGCCGAACACTCACACGAGGCTTGTAGTAAAATGAGAAATAATAAAGGAGAAAGCGGTATTATAATTAGTATAGATATAATGGCCTCTCTTATTATTCCCGCTATTAGGTGGCAAATTCCAGTGATTACTTATAGAATTAATTTATTTGATTTTTATCGAGTTGAGCCTTGTTTCATATGGTTATGTTAAAATAATTAATCCATAAATTGATTGTCTATTATTTATCTACAATCCTCAAAATTTTTTGCAGTGAAATCTCACTCTAAACAGTAAATTAAAACAGTCTTAAAAAAGAGCTCAATCTTTAAGAGTGACAAATCACTCTAAAAGTTTTAGAGAATATATTATATGTATTATAGATTTTTAGTATTGAACAGCTTATATACGGAAGAAATTATAAGTACTACATTTTGCAATATTTTACTTTTTCGTTTGTAACCAAATACCTACTATTTATTTTTAAAAAAGACTAGTTATTTAAATTAATTTTTATAAATAGTATTCTAATAAATGATTCGTAACTTTGAGTCTAGAATCGATTGAACAATACTTTGATGAATGTAATCGTTAAGTTTTAAATTTAAATGCCAGTTATTAAAATTTAATACAAGCTATTATATGAAATGTAAAAAGAGTGCGGTAATACCACCTTTTTCTTTAAAGTATTTCATTATCCTTACAAAATTAAAATCCTTTCCTATAAATCCTTTAATTTCTGTGCTGAACTCCACTTTAAGGCTATTTGTGCCTTCGTATTTTCGTTCAGAAAGAACTAACTCTAAATTGGTAGGGGGATCCATGATTGAAAATAAGAGAGGCAATTTCGGAATATTCTACAGCGAAAGGGTAAGGGCGGCAAATAGGTAGGTAGGTAGGTAGGTAAAAGCACAGAGGAACGAGCACGCGGCCGTCTGTCGGGCCCGAGATTACAATGGTAGTTTGAAATGCAAATCGCGGAGTTTATGCTTGGTTTCCATAATTACAGAAGCGCGACGCGCGCGTTACCTCTCATAATGTACAATGCACACGGACCGACGTAATCGTGGTATTGTTCTGGGGCGCGAAACTATTTTGCCGTGTTACGACGACGACGACAGCGACGACAGCGACGACGACAAGTCGGCGATGCGGAAGGACAGCTGTGAAACGCGAGATGCGACAGCTTGCGAGAGGAAGGAAATACATCGAAACATCACCAACGAGCTTGCGCAGCCTGTCATGACAATAAAGAGAAACGACATCGCGTCGTTAATCGACGGATATCAGGGAAAAAAACCGCTGTCAAAGTTTCAATAATAACAGAGATGTCGATACTGTTTTAAAGAAATGTCACAAAAAAATAATAAATAAGAGAACAATAAATAACGTAATCATAATTTCACGGTTCGTTTGAAATTAGGAATGTTATCATTAGGAATATTAAAAAGATAGATAATCTCATTTTATCACTTGATATTATCCTCGATGTTAGCACAATTTGTTGCTAGAAAATTTTTAATAGCTTTATTTAATCGCATCCCGGGTAAACACGATGCCAATTCATTTCAGCAATTGTCGTTTTAATCTCTGTTTCTCCTGATTTAATAAGATTCCTGGCTGGATCGTTAATTATTCCGCGTTTTTGTTCTGGTACCGTGAACTGCAACGAATAATCCTACGCACAAAACGAGAAATATCCAGAGAAGAATGTTGTCGCGAGACTCGTAAACATTGTAGGGACGGCGTGCAACGCAATCGTGCGGAAAAGCGAGAATAAAACTGAGGCTTAAGTGGCCCTTAGACTCTTAGTATTATTGTAGAATTATTTTGTACAATATTATTGATGCTTTGTCAAACAATTTAAAATAAACAATCTAGAGTTTCAATATAGACTCAAGAATATGCAATATTTTAAATAGGTATTAGGCAATAATATTGATCATCTAAGGGCTGCTAAGACTATTCCTTGTGGTATTAGAGTAAAAACGGGAAATATTATTAACGATTGGTCATCAGGAATCTTATTAAGCTAGACTTGATAAAATGACAACCAGGGGGCCCAAATTAATATTAAGTAGAATATATAAAGCAAGTCGAAATAAGTATAGTAAGGTAAAGTCGGCTATTATG